TGACAATAGTGATTTGATATCGAGGCAGATAGTGCAGGATGGCGAGGTCATTGACAGTGATTTATGGTGAACATTTTAACTCCTCAAGTTTATCGTTGATTACCTCCGAATTTCGAGTGCAAATTGAATTGAATTGAATTGCAGTCAGTGCTCAAATTGAATTGAACTTGGAATAGCGATTGCACTTTGTTGTGAATTTAGTGGTGGAAATGTATGAGCGAGTTGTTTATTGGAGAGATCTTTTCTGGTTGAGTTCGTTTGGTTTGTTGTTGCAATAGAGCTGGGAACTTAAAGTCGTGATTAGTTGAATGCGAATGAATAAGTTGAAATTATTCAAAGCGATGCGAATATCGATGAAAGTTATCGAATATTGGAGAGAACGAATGCTCTCGATGAGGAGGATTACGTTGAAGCATGTGAAGTTATTCAGAATATTGAACAACCACAGGTGTTTTGTAATAATAGGTCAGTGAACACTTTTCATTGTTACTACGGTTATTACATCAGTATCTTTATCATGTCGAAAACTCACCGAAATTTGAAACAATCCTATCATATTCAAGCGCTGAAGCATTTTCAAGCAATTTTCAACTTCCAATGATAGAATATTTCATCTGGACGGATTTGAAATTAACGAAACTGAAATTTCGTTGAAAATTGAAGGCGATATCGGGCCCAGATGGCGGCTGATCAGAGTGTTCGTGGCTGTGTGAGTGTGTCGTGTTCGAGTTGTCGATTGAAATTCTTTTGGCCTCCAGACACTCTCAAACTGCACATCTCATGGTTACGTGTACCGGGTGCTGGCTATCAACCACATCTGAAATGCCCAATTTGTGGTTGTTATACGCCGACTCAAAATTAGATTTCAGTAATGTTTTGGTATTTTTTGTGTCAAAGTTGTAACGACATACTGTGTCATTTTCTCGTCTCATGCCCGTTTTGCTTGATGTTATTGTCTAGTGGTGTTGTTCATTTTTGAGCATTGATTCGAAATATAAAATGTAATCGTTGTGATTTTAAGGTGTTGCGTTAAAATATTCCTTGACATTTCATTACTTCCTAAGTGAATTTGTTGTATCTTTTTTTTTATCACATTCAACAGAATTGATCTTTGTTGTGTTGCACGCAAGAAAGCGTGAAGAAAAGAAATAAAATTTGAACTGAAACCGTTCGAAGTTTACAAATATCAGCGTCCCTCGCAGAAAAAAAAANCAGTTCATGTTTTTCCGACTTCAAACGTTATTCAAGCAACATTCCAATGTTGTGAGTAGGTGATTCGATTACGATATTGTGATAACGCATGCCCACACGGAGATATGTTTACGATGTTTGGCATGTTGAAAACTTTTATCAGTCGGGTGTTTTACGGTGTTTTTGTTTGAATTGGACGCTTAAAATGATACATTTCCAGTCACAAAACATTTTTGAATTATTTTTATCTCTTAAAAATAAACACACACATTCATTCAATTCCATTACATCAGTTTAGCAGAGCAAGTAATGCTTTTTGTCTATTTTGTAGCTGTTTCATATTCATCCTCAGCTATTTAGGTTAATTTCATCAAAGTGATGACGTAGAAATCATGCTGTTAATTAATTAGTATCACAAATCGAATGAAAACACTCCATTCAATATTCAGTCTTAATGCAGGCTGTAATTTGCACTACTTACACCAATCGTATAAGTCCAAATTCTTGACTTGGCCATTCTATCGTAAATGCTTTGAGACAGTGCTCTGATCAACGCAAAATTTTTGTCTATTATCGGCTTCTCATATTGAGTGGGAGACGATTCAACTGGCTCTTTCAGTTCTAGTTCATTCACCTCTGGAAGGCGACGACCTCATCTCAGTCCATATTGGAGAGGCTCATTTGTCCGGCAGTTAACTTCGTGAACTATGTCACGACAGTCGACTTGAAAGTGGTTCTTACCCTCACCAAATCTTCTGTTAAATTAACCGTTGACTGCCTGTTTGAATAACCGAATTTGGTTCTAATTGAATTATTTTGTCCATAGAGCGCGTTGAATGCATTGAAACCCATCATACTAAGCGAGTATATATCATATGCG